CTCTGCAGCTTAGACTCATGGTGATCCTCCTGCTTTCAGCTTCCCTAGCCCTGGGGTTACAGGCATGCACCACGATGCCCAGACTATGCCTGGACACTGGCAGGCTCAGCCTACCCTGGGGGCAGGGCTGACATGGCATGTAGTTTCAGGGACTGAACTGCGGTCCCTGTGCTTTACCTAAGCAGGTGCTTTAGTCTTTGAGCAATCTCGCAGCCCTAGAATAGTATGCTTTATATATTCCTTGACTAAAAAAATGCTTTTAAAAACTAAATTTCATTCTGTGGCTTATATCAACTAATATGGTTTCATTCACATTCTGGATTTTGAGTTTTAAATGCCTCATCAGTCATTTTCTTTTCTTTCTCCATATGTAGAGTTCACATACACACTTCACATTTAGCCCAACTGTATTCACATAATTAAAGCAGCATGAAAGAAACTGTCAATCTGTCTTTGCATAATTTAAAATTTCCAAAAGAAAATAAAGTCATTATACAGTAAAAATGCAGTTGAATGGTTGCTCACATTATAAGATAAATGTGTCACAAAGGTTTTCAGTTCTTCTCCCTTTTCATAATTATTTTGTTCATTCTCACTTTTAAGTGCTCAATCTATAATCATAGATTCAAATCTCACGATTTTACAATATATAGATGAATTCCACTGAAATAATCCATCCAATTTAAACACTTGTTTAAAAAGGTAAAACTGGGCAGAGGATTGACTAGGATTTTGCTGGTGTGGGGTCCTTGCCTTCAGTTCTGTCATCCCACAAGTCTAGAGTCTGACTGTGCCAGACAACTCGTCATGCCTCATATCCCAGCATGCCCTGCATCCCAGCATGCTCTGCTTCATGGTGTGTCCCACTGCTCTGGAAACCCCGCCCCAAGAAGGGCAGCCTGCCATAGTGAGGGTGGCTGGTACCATTGTAGTAGGTGCCCCGAGCTGTGCTCCAGAAGATGAAGGTTCCAGGGAGGATGGAGCAGGCAGTGAGAACTGCTCTGGCTTTTTGTGCTGAGTTTTAAAGATTATGAGAAATAATTAAATAAAGTAGGATGCTCTGAAAAAAGGAAAGATTGTTTTTATTCATATTACTTGATAGAACAAAGATTAATGTTATCTTCATTATTTGAAGATATTAAAAGTTATCTTCAAAGATACATACTAAATGGGCTAGCAGAATTTATTAAGTAGGGAAAATTCTTTTTGCTTTACTTTGGGGCAGGTATAAAGCATTACATCATTCGTTGCTGCTGGGTTTCAGACAAAATTGCAGTTAGGTAGGGAAGCAGAAAGGATCTTTTCTGCAGTATAGTGTTTCTAACAATTGACAATGTATTATTAAAAATTGTTCAATAAGAAAATTTTGTGTTCCCACAGCAAAAAACTAGAAGGAACATATGTTAATTACTTTGATTTAACAAATCCATAATGCATACATATTCCAAAATATGTTTATTATGAGAAAATGTATATAATTTTTATTTCACATAAAAATCTGCAAACTTGCATAACAATAGGAGAAATTTTGTAAGATAAAAATGTCTTTTTACCCAGGATTTTATTATGAACTGTATGAAAACATCAACTTAGAAGCCACTTAGTTAACTTATATTTCCTATAAATTTCTTCCTTAGTCATCTATTAGTGTTCTTCAATATATTATTAAAAATCATGTCTTCAGCAAATTGATCAAGCAATGGCTGTGACTCATCCAGATGGTTGATACTGACAAAAGATCCACAAGGGGCTGCACATGATTCCAGGGTAAATCCTGAGGGGATTTGACTGACCTTGTCAGGTAGCAAAAGTTACATTTTTAGTTATATAGTTCTTGCTTCACTTTGGTCTTAACCATCCAACAGAAAAGTATAACCACCAGGCATAAAAAGTAAAGTTATATTAATATGCTGAGCTGTAAAAGGCTCAAGTCAACTTCAGTCAATTGCCAGTCATGCTGATAATTTATTACTATTAAGGACTATTGGCCTATATTTGGTTATTTTGCTGATTCAAGTACTTACAATCTTTAGACTGGCATCAAGTATGAAAATCTCCTTTAAAGACTTCTCCAAATACAGCTTAGCTAATAGCAATGGAACACCTGTCTCTAACAAAACAAAACAAAAAAGGGGAATCTAAATAAAAGACATTTTTGTTGTAAAAAAAAAATGTGTGTGTGTGTGTGTGTGTGTGTGTGTGTGTGTAAAAGATGGTTAGGATAGATATACAGCTACTTTCTCTTGGTTCAACGAGAAGAAAGTTTTGTACTAATATTGTTTAGACAA